AGCGGGGGCCCACCCGGGAGGCGGGCGAGCAGAGCCCGAGGTCCGCGAGCGCTCCTCCCCGGCGAACCCCGGCGGGCGCCCGGCGCGCACCTGCTGGCCGCAGCCTCCCCGGGTCCGTCCACCTCCCGCGTCTGTCCTCTCCCCGCTCGTGTCGGAGATGTCGAGGAAACTTTCTGCCATCAGCCTGGTGCCTGTCCCGGGGAAGTTCGTCCCCTGCTCTTTGCCGTCTCCGCCGGGTCCCTCTCCGAGCCTCGCGCCCTCTGCGGTGCCCTTCGTTGGGCCCCGGGGCGAGTGGGTGGCGAGCGCGGACTTGCGCTCCAGCCCGGCGGGCCGCCCCCACCCCCGGGTGGTCCTGCATGTGTTTGCCCGAGGCCTGTGCGGTTATTGCCCTTGATGGAAATCTTTCTTCTTCTGCAGGGATTTGACTAGTGCTCTTCAAAGGGAAACGGAAGTCCTGCCTGTTTTGCAAAGTTCTCTACAACCCCCTTTTAGGAACTGGGACCTCTGTTTGCTTCTGTTCTTAGGGGGTTGTTTTTCCCTGTTCTGCGGCTGGCCGAGTACTAATGGGCAGGCATTTCACTTTGACTCGCCTGAACCAGCTTTAGCCTGTCTTTCTTTCCATCCTAGTCACAGTTTATTAAATGTGCCTAATTTACCCAATGGGCATTTGATGTGGGCTCAGGGAACGTGAATTGTGAGGCCCAGGGAGTCGCAGGCACTTGACAGCCCCAAAGCCAGTGCTCCTCAGTCCTTGTTTTGGCCCCAAGAAGTTTCCACTCAGATTTAACACTTCGAGTTATTTGTAATTCCAGGCTTTCGATAGGTGTTTGTCTGGTACTCCTCCCTGAAGGCATCCCTTTTCCAGAAGGTAGAGGAATGATGGTCCTACTGATTGAACCTGCTGTTTTTTATTCACGGGCCAGAGTAGTAGGAGGTGTCAAAAGTCCTCCCTGCAGACCATGGTGGTGTCACCAGAGGGCAGCCGCTCTGGAGGACACCGAAGCCCACTGGGAAGTTGTTAGTTAATCCCCCACAGAAGATAAGGTGTCTTCTATTTTAGTGTGGTTTTACCTAAGTTTTATCTTGTGGCCGTTAAGTATGAATGAGTTTGATGGTAACCCTGCGTTGAGGGTGAGTGTATTTAAAACTCCCTAGATACCTATAATGTCATCCCATTAGGGAGTAATTGTCTCACTGCATGGGAGATGCAGTTTTGACATCTGCTACAGGGATGGAAATTTGTGGAATATCTCAGATACCTTTTAGGATTCTGGTGTTTCATTGAGGGAGCAGGGCGAGAGGTGGGAGTGAAAGGTGCAGTAAAGCCATATTGGTTTCTGGGGTCATTTGGGGACATGGATAAAGAAGGTACATGCCCTTTTTAATTTCACTTCTGGGGGTTTTGCTCTCAGAGAGGGTGGCCTCAGTGAAGACCAAGGTAGGGGTCATTGCATATGCTCTTGGTCCTCCACCTCCAGAGTGAGGGTCTTGTCCTTTTCCCTGCTTTTTTGTATTTTATTTTTGGTCATCTCCTCACTCTACAAAACTTCTGCAAGTGTGTGACCTCAGCAGGGTAGTGGCCTTTACTCCCTTCTTCCTCTTTTCTGTTTGATGTTCTCGTGACTTTTATTCCTTGGCAAATAATGATGCTGGGCTTGAAACGAGTTAGTGTTGAGTGATGGTTCTCCCCCCCC